AGTAGATTTCATAGCCTACCTAACCTTTACTACGTTTTTGTTGTAAGATGTCAGATGAAGCTACCATAAACTTATATTGATTTAAATAAGTATTACGAACCGGACTAATAAAAATCCCTAATTTCACTAATTCATAGGCTATATGATTTTATAAACATTGTTTTTGTTTCGCTAATCGCGAATTTATGGAATGGAAAAACGTAAACAACCTCGTAAAAGAAAAGATGAAAATAATACAGCTATTTTATTTTGTACCATGTTAAATGTCATATGTATAAAGAGTTCAGCTATAAGCATTTTGTGTTCTTATTTTAGGACTCTCTCTATGCTAGTAATTACTCTGAGAAACAGACACTTCAATGTTATTTATTTATATAGATAATAAAATTATCTTCTTAGTTTTGGACAAAACAAACCTTGTTAGTTACAAAGAAACACGACTAACTTCATATTGAAAGAAATGCAGGTTATTACGAGATTACTATGTAAAACGAAGACTACCAATGGTACTTAAATCTATATGAATCTAAAATAAACGTGGAAGGTCTTTACCTGCAATAATAATTTCTATCAAAAATAGCATAGACTCATAAAAGTCGTAGACAGATTCATTAACATAACAGATTTAATGTTTCGTTTGTCAGATGTCAATTGTTCAATCTACTACCACGGATTTATAATACTTCATAATCTACTCAAAGTTGTCTAAGTAGTTACATTAAAATTTTCAAATCTGAATGTAAACGACAGGCTGAGTAATTGTGCGATAAGAGAAAAGTGTGGTTTGCATGATGATTTTGTGACCAGGATCAAGAAAGGAACGGCAGTGTTGGCAAATAATAAACACGGGCCTGATTAAGAATACCCTTAACTGATTAGCATATATGATAGATAAGTATATGGATGTAAAAGACGCACGGTTTTAGCGCAAATATTTTTTTACATATCATTGGCGCGAATAAAACGACGCATCCATGTGCACGAAATAACTTAAAACTTATTCCCGACATATCCTGTTTCAACGTAATAAAATCCGTAAAATTTATTAAACAATGTTTTTTCAATATGATTATGTTATTATGATAAATAATTCTACATGTTCTTCATCTCCTTCATCAAAAGAAGACTTTTTCTTTAGAAGTCTACTGCTGGATATTGGCCACACCCCTAATAGGGAGGATTTGCCTTAATTGTCACGCTTCGCAGGTGGATTCACGATCGCTGTACCAGTCTTTTCGTGCCTTTGATGCTGCTCGTCTACGGTTTGGAAATTTTACGATGGTGTAAAGGAGATGGTATACCGTAATCTATCAAAAAGCATGTGGCGACTAAGCTTAAAACCTAAGCCAAAAGCCCTAATCTTGTTTTCATAGTCGCCTCTTACTTCACACACAGGACGAAATTTTGTGATAATAATAATAATAATAATTTTTATTCAGGCAAATTACACCCATATCCAGTAAAATCAATGAATTTAAATCAGTCTCTAAAATTTTTGCAATAAATAAATCAATATCAATACAAAATAACAATATTAAAATAATAAATCCAGTCAATTTAAATAGGCAGTAATGTCAGTATATAAATAATATAAGTAGATAAAATAAAATTAAATTAAAATTAATAAATAAATAACAGTATTACACACATTTATCAGTCAGGAGACGTGATCAATAATTGAAACTTCTCTGAGGCAACTGTGCTGCAATAAATTAATTTAAAATCAATCTACAAAATGTTAGCAATACAATACATAAATCAATGTTAACATAATAATAATGATGATTCATGTACGGCAACACCCCCTGATGAATACTTTTTTAATTTAATTTTTTTAAATATCTTCAGAATAAGAACATAGCTTCCGAAATATGGCAAATTATAAATGGCTCTCAAATTACCAAAAGTGACGCTTAAATTAAAGCACTCTGTTATTGTATCGCGTCGCCGTCTCGCTATTAGTGGCTCTTGAGACGCAAATCCGTCAACAGCTAAAAATAATTGGATACTGAAACCTACAAATTACAAAATATCTACGCACAATGTATAAAAGCACTTCTTGTCAATTTTGGCTATAATAACTAATTAAAGTTGGTAAAAAATTACTTCGCGTACATCCGCTCGATAAAATGAAATGCTGTGTCTTACCTAGTTTGAAGAGCACCTCCCGCCCTCCCTCAATTGCGTGCACTATCCCCGTCACCACTAATCCCAGCACCTCTGCTCCCAACACCACTACACTAGGAAAGACACACCACTGACTGACTGACTAGATTACCTGAAAATGCCTCGTGTAGAGACGTTAATATAATGGACTTCCGCAAAGTAACGCCTGATTCAATTAATTACTATAACTAATTAAATGAAGGTACGAGTTCGCTTTCCAATATCTTGAAAAATATGTAATTTCACTAGCTTTAAATCATAGGTCACTGCTTGCTTTTATATACTAAGAGTGTACTCTATACTCTTTGAATAGACTAAATACGTAGTTCCCATTAAAATAATTCTCAGAAGCCTCGGCCTCGAAGATATCAACAGCAGAGTAACCTGAAGGCTCTATACCTGATACGAGTGAGTAACAGCTCGAAGAACAAATATAAAAATAACCGTTTGAAAAGAAAGTTCTCGAGTGGCAGCCTCGTTTCGGGAAGGGAAATATATAGTTGTCTGGTAAGAAATGCATAGTAAGTTGAAGGATACAGGTGATTTAGGACTTTTATGTCAGTCATTTGGGAAGACTAATGATAAGCAGTAAATTAGTGATGCTGTAATGATCATTAAGAAGACATCGCATGAGAAACCATTAACTTTTAACTTAGACTTACCATCAGTTGGGGTAGTAGTCAACTACACTGGTTTAGAATAGTAAAAAAAAACTTGCTTGATCTAATACTGTTTTGGCCTACCAAAGATTTTGTTAATTTCGCCGCCTTCAAAAAACTATGTTTACATTTCGACTGTATATATTATATTGTTATTTCCCGCATATTATGTTTTATAAGAGTTTCGTATGTATGTTTTGTATGTACAGTTAAGCGATAACTTCATCAATTGTCAAACGATTTTGATGATTCGTTTTTTATTTAATAGCGTATACTTCAGGAGTGGTCTCATATGTCATCACTTTAGCGCAATATTTGGAGAAAAAAACCCTACGCCTACGGGTGGGGAAAATAGGTGATGAAGTTTTCAATACAAGTATTAGCACGAAATTTTAGATACTACCTTGAGTATGAGCTATGCCTTAGTCCACTCAATAAATTTCAAAAGTAAAACGTTTAAAAATTAGTGAAGCGAAATTCAAAGATCTAAAAATAATTGATATTTTCACATGTTACTAAGGTCAAAACTTCAATTCTTTTTTACACTATATATCTTAGCACCGACTTCAAAATGTAAAATTATTTAAATTTTTTTAGATCCTCCAAGTTGGCACTTACATTTTGTTAATTTTTTTTATAATACGAGTATTCCACTAAATATCAGTCTAGTGCACGATAAGTACAATTAAGGTTGGTAAATGGTTGCTGCAGCCCTTTTTTCCACGGGATAACGCCTACGCATATCCGCCTCGCGGGGACGATGTTTAGTCTCCTACCCTGATGAATTTTTTGTGGTGATGCAACTTAATAAGGTAAAGCGCACTGACTTAACATAAGCTTATTCACTCTTCCCTTGAAGACGCCCATATTGTAACTCCACTGCTGAACATAGATCTCCCTCATAGATAGCCTCATAGGGGGATATTTGCCATAGTTGCCTCATTTTGCAGGCGGGTTAGCAACCGCAGTTTTTTATTTCTTTGTGATGTTGTCAGGAAAATGCCGCTGTTTTTTTGCCCTTTGTCGCTTTTTACGACACCTACGGGATGATATGGGGTAACGGATTTTCTTTCACTATATGGCGGCGTAAGAAAATTGTACTAATACATTTAAATTTTTAGAATTTTAATTTGAAATCTACCTATTAATAATAATTAAAGTATATAAATAATATAGCATAAGATAAGTTAAACTATTATTTGCGGTTTAAACATTTTCTTAATATTTTAAAACAGTAAAATACTTGAGAACTAACTCTCGAAGTAGAGTTGGTATCCCTTGAAAAGCATCTTAGTGGACGTGAACACTATTAAAAGTTAGAGCAACTTGCTGGGGAAACTGACATTACAAATTTAGTTTAAAACTCAAAGCTTTTACGGGATATCGTAACTTTCAATTCGACGAGAGTTTTTGATTGTTAGTAAATGAGAAACGTAATTTATATTTTAATATCTAGAAAGCAATACGATTAAGCTCGAACGTTCTATAAAAAAATAGAGTAAGTATGTCAAACGAGCGTACAGTCTACCTGATGGTAAGTGGATTCTGTGGCCCATAGATATCTATTTCTTGTTAATTAACAATGATTTATATAATATTGTATTTTAATGGCAACACTGCGTCGGTTGTCAACACTGTGTCTGTTATGAAGGAAGGTTCAATATGATGTTATAGGCTCTCCATGTTGTTGTTTTGAGGTTAATAAAAAGCACGTTTTATGTTCAAAGTATTATATCTTTAATTATCCCCATAATCCTTAACAGGGTTATGGGTCCAGTACCGCCATCAGTTTTATAGTGGATTAATAAGTGTTAAAGGACAGAAAATGTCAAAAGAAAAATATCAAATTGTCTCTTTCGCGGGCGACAATTACAACGCATGGGAGTTTCATTAAAAAGTATCCTGCGGGATAATGGAGAAATAGAGGCGATCGAAAAGGAGGATTTCAGTAAATCTACGTATAACAAGCAATTGCAATTGGAAGCTAAGGCCCAGGCTATCATAATAGCGGCAACCGCCGACAGTCACCTCGAATACTTAAAGGACAGATCGGCTTATCATCAGTGACAAAATCTTGTAAATATTTTGGTTTAGTTTTCTTTCTTTTCTCCCTAGAATTAACATTATCTGTATCCCTTCCCTCGGGTTGTAATGACTCTAAATTATTAACAGAAGTTAAATTTTCTCAGTACCATGGGTTTGGGTTTTATCAGAAATTAAAGGGGTTTTGGTTTTCTCAGGACTGCTACCACCATCCTTCTCCTTCCCATTCGAGATAGACTCCAGGTCAATACTAATCGTTTTAGGAGACTCTGAACATGTTTCTTCCCTAAACAATACGTTTCGTTCTATGTGTATCTTCCTTTCATTAGCATCCCATAATCTGTATCCCCCCGGAGCATACCCAACCATTTTCAATTTCACACCACGAGGGTCCAACTTCATTAGGAGTTTTTGGGGAATATGGGCATATGCAGATGACCCAAATATTCTAAAATTAGACACATTAGGACGTCTTCCCTCCCACATTTCAAACGGTGTAACATTAAGGGAAGCAGTGGGACTACGATTAGTGACATATACCGCATATCGCAGGGCCTCGCCCCAAAGCTCTTTAGGAAGCTGTGAATCTAACAATAATGCACGCGCCTTTTCAGTCAGAGTACGATTCATTCTTGCAGCTACTCTGTTCATGTCAGGATTATATGCAGCAGTATACTGCAATACTATGCCTTTTTCATCACAAAAGAGGATTCATTATCTTATTGTGTGGGCAAGTCTATCGATTCAATATAAACATTCAACATAAATATCGATATTAATTTTGATATAGTTGAGTCAATCCCTAGCGTACATGTAAAATATTTTGTATAAAAATGTATTTACCAAACACACGCAAATTATCAACAACTTGACTTTTTTCTTTGCAAAATATTATAACTAACAAAATAATTGAATCATTATATATTTTATATAGTATATAACATAAATTTTAACCAAAAATAAACGCGTCATAACATTGACGACGTCTTGAGAATTTACCTGTGAAATGTGCAATTTTCAGGATTATTTCTATTATTAACACACCAGTCACTTACACAACAAGTAACCATTTTGAAAAAAAGTTACATACTTAAAATAACCACTATTACACTCTAAAAAAATACAAAATATCAAGGAGCTATTTCTTGCGTGCCGACTTGTGCCGATCTGTCATTCAAAATCGGTTACAGAGTCATGAGATTTGGTATCCCTTTCTACCTTGCATTTTTGCCATAAGGAATTTTCTTCTCCCTTACACACTATATTGGTCTATACGCTAGTATATTCTAAATCTATGGTATATTCTAAGTCTATGGTTATTCGCATATTTTCCACAATACTTCTTTATTGAAACAGACTATAATTTAAACCTTATTATATAAACTGCTTTTTGTATTAAGGCAATTTATGTTGAAATACAGGTACTACAATAATTTATTTTCACTCCCGATCTCGATCGAAACTTACTGATTTCAATGTAGACAAATTTAGCTTTGACGAGAAATATGAATTTTAATATTTCAACTACGGTTACGGCGTTAGAAGCTTAGACCAATAAAAATTCTGAAGGTTTTTATGGATACGAAAAATAAAATTCAGTCTGTAATTTGAATTTCAAATCTCGCTTTACATTGTTTTTTTACGCGGGTGTAAAAAGTCTGCAGCTTTTTAGTTATGTTATATACTTTTAAGTATTTTAACCAGTTTAAATACTTTATTTTTTTATAAAATTGATTGTAGCAAACGAATTCAATACAGTCTTCGTCTTAAGTACTTTTATTAAGTCTCTCCAAAAAAGCAAATGCAGGCGTAAGAAAGTAATATATCATAAAAATAAAACATTTTGAAAGTATTATGGCGCGTCTTTAAAATACAGGATTGAGGGTGAGCAAGAAATTGCGCCACTCTAACGGAGGATCATATTGATGGTGGCTAAGCAGCCACATTGCAGATAAAGAGTATAAGTTGGGAGAAAATAAATAGAATTGAATGCAGATTGGGAAACTCCCACTCGTTTGCATATTATAAAGGTTCATTGTAGGCTCCTTGTGAGAAGTTAACACCGGTGCCCTCTTCTTCGATGTCGTAAAAGCGTATGACTTCTGTCAACCACCACTTTTGCTATCGAATATAGAGAACTCGCTCCTCGAAGCACCTCCTTAGGCCTGGAGTCCTTCAGGGCTCCAACCTCTCCCCACTCCTCTTTACACCCTACATGAGTGACATCCCTTAGCACCCAGTAGTTAATAATGTTCTCTTCGCCGATGACACGGCACTATTCATCGCTCATTATAATAAGAAATTTCTCACCAAGATGCTCCAAAGAGCCGCCAATCGCTTAAGCGAATACTTTCCAAGAAACCCTTCTCTCAACCGTCGGAACCTAAATCCGAAAAAATCGTTAGCTACCATCACCCTATTCGGCCGTCACATCCCTGGGAAACTACGGCCAAATACCTAGGGATCACATTCAATCACGGTATGACCTCCGCGAAGCACATTCGCAATGTCTACAAAAGTGCCAAATTCGTTACTAGTCGCATCCATCTCACACAATCCTTAAGACACAAGCTCCATCTTTACAAAAAGTGCGTAAGGGTGTTACAACATCGTCGAACGTCGATCGATGCCGATTTAGCTGATCAACGGATACTGGTTGTTAAAACGTTGTTTAATCATTGATTTTTTTGGGATTGATCATTGAGGGAGCGGTTTGTGGAGCGAGTCGGGTTCTCGAATAATCAAGCAGCTTGATCGACGTCGACTAATCCATTCCACCATCGATCGATGCTATCGACCGACGATCGATCAATTGGTGTGGTACCACCCTAAGACCTACGCAAGCGTAGCTTTCGCATAGCCATCGGAGCCTGGTAGTACCAGCGAAACTCCGACTTGCACAACGATATCTGAATATTTCAAAGAAATGTCTCAGCGCTACTTTTAGAGGGTCGAGACACATCCCAATTCGTTAGTGGTAAAAACAACCACCCATGCTCTGACCCCAAATGTCAAGGAAAGTCTCCGGAGATCCCGTAATGTTTTAATTTAACCCCCAGTTCCGCTAGACCCCGACTAACCAAATTTCACCGGCCCGTCACACACCAACACTACACACTCACTTGGTGCCACAACCAGCGCGCCGCACATCGCGTAGACACCGTACACTGCGTCCCTGGGCGGTTCTTACCGTCCAGAACATCGAACGATACGAGTTGACCGTCAGAGCCGGGGCCAGCCTCCCCTGTTCGGACGGCGGTTGGATAACATAACTATGTACACTGTAAACTCTTATAGGTGAACATCATTATGTTAGTAAACGTTGGGAATAATATATCATCACTCCATTTTTGAGAGAGGAGGCCTGTGTCTAGCAGAGGGAAGTAAATAGGCTGCAACTTTGCGTTACTTTTTATTTTACTCCTTTTTTACAGCCTTTAGGCCTACAAAGCCGTGAGCCCTGAGTCCGCTGAAGCTGTAAAAGCCAAAAAAGGCTAACAGCACTAACATGAATCTAAAATTATGAGAATATTCCGCTGAAGTCATTCGACTAGTCTTAATCAATATCGTTATTCTGTCTCTTGTAGTAATACTTCTAGTACAAGTAAAAGAGGTCGTGTTGCTGAGAGACTGTTCTGTGCTACATTGAAATAAGCTGGGTTGCTGTTGTATTAGCATAGTTAATTTGTTGGTGTTATCATGTAATTGTAATTTTGTGGATCAGGTTACACAAATGTATTACACAATTATGACAAAGACATATTAGGATATGGTCGAACTGTAACTGCACTATACTAAATGTATAGTGCTATTATAATGCTAAGCAAGAGAGCAAGTTCAACATCCGTACTCACAATGTTATTATTTTTAACTTAATACCATCTTTAATTTTTGCCAAAAATAAATATGTAATTCAATTACAAAAGTAACGACCTCCCTGAATACCAACTGCTAAGTAATAAGAAAAAACAAAATTACAGAATCTACGTGAATACAACTTGAAGTGAAACAGAGGTGCAATAAAAAAAGTAATTTATCATGATCCTTTCTACTGTGCGACGCCTAAAACCTACTAATTGGATTGGAGGCAACAAACTCCTAAATACCTCTGATTACCGCGCCACCGTCGCGCAATGCGGTGCTCGAGACGAGGTATTCGTCACCTGTTGAAAATAATTACGCAAAAAAAACCGTGTGCTGTAGGATCTAACAGCGACCTCTGTGTTAGTCACTTGACAAAAAGCTTTGGAATTTCAACTCAGAATTTCGGGAGCATTTTTTCCGGAACAAACTATTCCGTGGTTTTAGGCACGGCTGCTTGCTTCATTCACTGAATTTATAAAATAAAAAATAAAACTCCATGCGATTTTTTTCCGTTGAATTTTTTTCCAGTACGGACACAAAATAAAATTATAGAAGTAATGTGTCAATAATGTATATAAATGAAAAAAAAAATATAAATAAAAAATGAAATGATGTGTAATATAAAATCTGTGTATAAAAAAACGCTTCGGGTCCTGTATCTACGTCACAGTAATCGAGTGTAAAAAGTGGCCGGTTTGGAGGCTGACTGTTGAGTCGAAATTGTATTAGCATATTGTTACGAGCTTGGGGTTCGAGACAATTAAAAACTGCCGATTGTATTACCAAAATTGACACTATAATTACACAACACTAATTACAATCTAAAACCACACTAATAATAAAACACAGTTCGCCGTTATTTCGCTTCGAAGTATTCTCTTGTATCGCCAATTCAATACATCCCCGGTCGTGGTCTATACCGGCCTTATTATATAGGGCCTCAGATAGTTTCCAGAACCTTCTACTGTAGCGACATCTAGAATGTTCGAGTACATATCGGTCCCGAAATTTCTGGAAGGATCTCGACTCTCCTAGTTCTACTACTCGACACTAGAGGGCGCTAGTGTAACTAGTGTTGCCATGTACAAGATATTAATAGTGGCGCGCAATACTTTCATTTACTCGACACTAGTGTTGCCATGTACAAGACATTAATAATGGCGCGCAACACTGCCCCCTCCTAAGACATGCTCGTCCCGAGCATTATTGGCCCCATAATAACGCGCCAGTCGATCCACATGGACAATCTTAGGAGTACCTCTGGCACCTTTCTGTATCCGGTAGGTTACATCATTGATCCTTGTCACAATCCGGTACGGTCCGTCCCATTTAGCTTGAAGCTTAGGAGATTTCCCTTTGCTGCGAAATGGATTGTGTAACCACACTAGTGAACCTTCATCAAACCCCTTGTTGTTGATTTTGCGGTCATACCGTGTTTTCATCTTCTCAGACGTTTGCTGGCCCGTCTGTCTGACGTGCTCATAAATGTAATTCATTTTGTTTCGCAAGTCATTTGCATAATCGGTTATACTGCGTGGGGCATCAGGTGGTATTCCGGTGATCAGGTCTGCAGGCAGCCGCAATCCTCTCCCAAAGTTTGCGAAAGCTGGTGTCACTGATATACTTTCGTGAACAGCGCTTCGATATGACAACAAAAACGGTTGTAAGTGCCTGTCCCAGTCTCGTTGCCGTTTTTCCACAACTTTTGCTAGGTACCCCTCCAATGTCTGATTAAATCGTTCTACCATTCCATCAGATTGTGGGTGGTAAGAAGTTGTTCGTGTTTTATGAGTACCCATAACTCGGCAAGTTTCCTGGAATATTTGAGACTCAAAATTCCTTCCTTGATCGCTGTGAATCTCTAAAGGTACTCCAAAACGACAGAAGACTTCATGAACTAGTTTATCTGCAACTGTTGAAGCTTCTTGATTTGGCATGGCGAAGACTTCTGGCCACTTAGTGAAGTAATCCATCACTACCATGAAATACTTGTTACCACTTTCAGTTTCTAGAAACGGCCCCGCAACGTCAATGGCTATCCTCTCCCATGGTGCACCAACATTGTACAATTTCAATGCGCCTCTACTACGAATTTGAGGTCCCTTTACAGCCGCACAACTTGTACATTTGCGGCACCAGTCCTCGACATCGTCACGACAGTGGACCCAGTAAAACTATTCTCGGATCTTCAGGAGAGTTCGTTTAACTCCCAGGTGGCCTCCTGAACAACCACTATGGTACAGCTGTAGAACATCCGGCACTTTAGCCTTAGGGACAACCATTTGCAAATGACACCTGTCTCCCCGACCATTTTCCCATTTACGGCACAGGACTCCAACCTGAATCAGCAAGCTGTCCCATTGGGCCCAATAGCTTTTCGTGGTCGAACTCATTGCTGAGACGTCGCTCCACTTGGGCTTAGGAGCACTGGCCTTCATCCATTCCAGAATCGGCTTAATGTCCGAATCTTCCTGCTGTGCATGTTGTAGGCTGTCCTTCCATTCATTGCTGAGCTGGTCTGTCCTGAATATCCTCGCAGATACCACTTCTTTACCCTCTTGCCTAGTACAATACTTGCAATCTTCAGGGCAAGGTCTTCTTGATAATGCATCTGCATTGCCATGAGATTTACCGCTGCGATGTTCGATCACAAAGTCGTATTCCTGTAGTAGTTCAATCCATCTCGCAACTTGTCCTTCCGGATTTTTGAACTGCAATAGCCATTTCAGTGCAGCATGGTCAGTTCGTAAGTAGAATTTCCGCCCCAGGAGATATTTGCTAAAATGCTGCAAGGACTTTACCACAGCAAGCAATTCCCGTCTTGTGACACAATAGTTCCTTTCCGGCTTTGACAACGACTTGCTGAAGTACGCTATCACAATCTCTCGATCACCATTCCGTTGAGACAACACACTGCCAAGTCCTATATCACTTGCGTCTGTGTCAACTATGAATTCCTTGCTCGCATCAGGGTACCCCAAAATAGGCGTTTTGCACAGACGGTTCTTGAGCTCCTGGAATACAATATCGCAACTTTCATCCCAGCAGAAATGTCACTTCTCCTCGGTTAGCTTGTGCAGAGGTTTGGCTATATCTGCAAAGTTCTTCACAAATCGCCGATAATAAGAGCACAAACCCAAAAATACTCTAACCTGCGTCTTGTCTTTTGGAACCGGCCACTCCTTGACAGTGGCAATTTTCTCTGGATCCGTGCGGATACCTTCTTCCGACACTACATACCCCAAAAAACTAACTTGCCGTTTGAATAGTGAGCACTTCGGACTCAACTTGAGGTTGGCACTCTGGATCTTTGTGAGCACACGTTCCAGGTTTTGAAGGTGTTCCTCAAACGTACGGCCTACGATGATGATGTCATCCAAATAGACCAGACAGGCATCTCCAATCAGCCCGGTAAGTACAAGCTCCATCATCCTTTCAAAAGTTGCCGGAGCATTGCACAATCCAAACGGCATGACTTTAAATTGCCACAGACCCTATCCTGTGGAGAATTTCTCCTTGTCCTTAGGGTCAATTTCAACCTGCCAGTAGCCACTTTTCAGATCCAGCGTACTAAACCACTTTACGCCTGTAAGCATGTCCAGCGTGTCATCAATTCTTGGCAAGGGATAGCTGTCCTTCCTTGTAACGTCGTTCAGGCGGCGGTAGTCAACACAAAACCGCATGCTGCCGTCCTTCTTCTTTACAGGTGAACACCATGGACTAGATGAAGGCTCAATAACACCATCCTTCACCATTCCCTCAATCATGGTTTCCACTTCCTTTTCACGTGCTACAGACAATTTTCTAGGCCGCTGACGAATAGGTAATTCTTGTCCTGTGTTTATTTTGTGTTGAACTAAGCCAGTCTTTCCTATGTCAGCTTCGTTTGACGATAAAACATTGATGTACTTGAGTAACAACTTCTTCGCCTTGACCACTTCATTCGGGGAAAGAACGCTGCGACAGTCTTCTAAAAGTGTGGTCACTCTCGTTTGTCCATCCTTGCTGAGGGTCCCGGTCGATAGATATTCGCACCGACGCAACCATTCCACTTCCTCACTAGTACCAACCAATGTGCCTTTTTCTATAATCTGTTCCTGATCACAAAGGTTCAACACACGTGTGTTGAACCTTTGTACCTTTGTACGTACTCCTGAGATGTCGGCGGTTCTGACCAAGGTTCGAGCCACTTTCCATGGAAGGTCATTGTCTACCCTTTCCACGAGTACACAACGATGAGCTTGCCCAGGACTCCGAGGAAGACTAACCGGCACAATCGTTTCCGATCTCGGCGGAAGAACAATCTTCTTAAGGCTGTACACATTCCCTGGTAACGCCCCTTCCATGAAAAGTTCCTCTTGTCCACATTTCAAAACACCTTGCTTAACGTCGATCTCACAACAATTCTTCCTCATAAATTCTAGGCCCAGGATGCAGTCGTCCATTATATCTGCCACGATGACATTATGCAGGTAGATCATGTTGCCTAGCTTCAACTCCATCGCCTTCTCTCCACGGACGGGTATGCGCTTACCGGTGGCTGTCACCAAATTAATGCGTTCGCGGTCGTATGCGGATTCCCCAACAAACTGATTTATAAGTTGGGAACTGACGACCGTGCGAGAGGCTCCAGTGTCTATGGTCAGTTTACACGGCTTTCCGTTGACCTCGCCCTTGATGATCAGGCTGTTTCCATCACGGGTTTGTGAGATCGAAATCCTTGGGGCTCTGTTAACATCAGCCAGCACCCGCCAGTTTCCCTGCTGCTGCTGGGCGGTGCTGTCAGCCACACTACCGTCTCGATATCGATCACCTTCCCTTTCTACAGTTCGTTTAGGGCAGCTGGATCGAAGATGGCCCCTTTCCCCACAGCCGTAGCACCTAGGGCTGTAGCCCTTATTGCGGTCCTGAACTGTAGCTGCTGCAACCTCCCTGACGCGGTGGGAACGATGATCCTGCCGCACGGCTTCCACCTCCAGTGCATGGGCCAAGGCGTCCTTAAGCGTCTCGTGGTGCCCGAGCCTCACAGCAGCTCTGACTTCAAGGTCGCGGATGTCGTCGATGAATGTCTGCACCAGGTTACTTACAATGAGCGCAGGTACAGACTGGTACGCTTTTCGAACCAGCTTCTCCACCTCAAGGGCCCACTGCTGCAGGTTTTCGTTACTGCGTTGCACGCGATCTTTGAGCTGCGCACGAAAGACGTGTTCCAGGTGAGCATCGCCATATCTCGCCTCCAATGCCTCAAGGAGCTGCTCGTAAGTCACTTCCTTACCGAGAGCTTCCAGAACAGTTAATGCCTGGTCGCGTAGGCCTAGGGTGAGGGCAGTCATGGCCTGACTTTTATTCCAGCCGTTCGCTTTCATGACAGCCTCGAACTGGATTTTGTAGGCCGACCAGGAAGAACTCCCGTCGAACGGCGATACTTTGAATCCAGGTAGCGAAGGTGTTGTAGCTACCACGGGAACTGTAATTCCATCCCCAAGTTTGAGGTCGTACAGCGTTTTCTTTACATCAGCCATCACGTTGTCAACCCGATTGTTCACTTGGTCGATTCGGGTTTCAGCTTCCGACAGGCGGTTGTCATGTTGAGCAACCCTATCCTTCACCTCCTTTATCTCTTTCCCGAAGGTAGCGTGAAGGTCCTTCCTGAGGAGCATCTGTTCTTCCATACCGCGCTGCAGCTGCTCTTCCAATCGACGGGTCTGTTCCTCCTGTCGGCGGGCCTGTTCCTCCTGTCGGCGGGCCTGTTCCTCCTGTTTGCGAGCCTGATCCTGCAGCATCATCATCAGAGCACCTAAGTCAGGTGCTGCAGATGCAGGAGCTGCTGACGGGCCGGCCTCCGTTGCATTACCAAATCGTCTCTGGTCCGTCTCCTGTTGGCGTTGACTTCGGGTACGGATACCCTCCGTGTCGTCTTTAGGTAAAATCGGCATATTTGATCCCACTTCTGACACCAATTGTTACGAGCTTGGGGTTCGAGACAATTAAAAACTGCCGATTGAATTACCAAAATTGACACTATAATTACACAACACTAATTACAATCTAAAACCACACTAATAATAAAACACAGTTTGCCGTTATTTCGCTTCGAAGTATTCTCTTGTATTGCCAATTCAATACTGCCCCAGTCGTGGTCTATACCGGCCTTATATAGGGCCTCAGATAGTTTCCAGAACCTTCTACTGTAGCGACATCTAGAATGTTCGAGTACATATTGGTCCCGAAATTTCTGGAAGGATCTCGACTCTCCTAGTTCTACTACTCGACACTAGAGGGCGCTAGTGTAACTAGTGTTGCCATGTACAAGATATTAATAGTGGCGCGCAATACTTTCATTTACTCGACACTAGGGGGCGCTAGTGTAACTAGTGTTGCCATGTACAAGACATTAATAGTGGCGCGCAACAATATTATATCAGAGTAATCACAGACAATATTGGCCACATTTCGATGTGGGTTTCCATAAGACCATACGAGTACTATAAGCCTCGGAATTTTTCACCATCAAGCCGCAAAAGTTTTCACTATCCGTCAAGGTTAATATCCCTCTACATAATGCAGAATTATAGATACAAGCTTGATTTTGATTGTGGCCTCAGTCGCATTCATTCATTCATAACAGCCTATCAAAAGTCCACAGCTGTATATAAGCCTCTTCCATACATTACTCACAGGAGAATATTTTCCATAGTTACCACGCTTCGCAGTCGGGTGAGCAACTTTAGTTTTTTTATTATTTTGAGTTGTTCAAGAAGAGCTGCTGACCATCTCCTGTTTCAGTTTCCCTCTGTCGCCTGTTACGACACCCACGGTATGATATAGGGTAATGAATTCTCCTACGCCGTCACAACACGCCGACTTTCTTACATAGGACAAACAAAATATATATATATATATATATATATATATATATATATATATATATATATATATATACATAGGAGAAAATCCTAGTGTGGAGGTAACGTTTTTTTTTTAAACAAGTGAAACAAGAGATCTCAGAAGTGACAACGCATCTGTAGCATTCTTTGTTTGAGCCTACCTCAAGTGTTCAAGCTGCAGTAGCCATTTACTACCAGGACTAGGAGTTTATTTATCATTTTAGTTTTATAACCTCATTTAAGAAAAACCCAGTCTAACATTAAACTAATAACGAATTATGATGAAAAGCAGAAAAGATAATATTTTAATGTTTGTTTAATTTAGACAATACTGTTTACTGTCCTCATACTAATAACATTAACTTTAACACATTAATATTAACACTGCAAACTAAATTAATGTTTTCTTTAAATAAATAAAATAGAATTTCCATAATATGTAACAATAGCCGAAAGTATCCTTAGCCTTATCACATCTCTCCCCTAAAAACACCCACAAGGTACGGCACAACACAACACAAAGTAAGCCACTACTGCACGTCGTCTCTTTTTTATATAAAAGTAAAAAAGTAGAGCAATGCTGCAGCTATATAAATAGTATAGTTGTAACACGAATGGGTCGGCTCGACCGGGGAAGGACCACACTCTTACAGAATACCAGCGTAAAATAGCAACTTAATGCTGCTGTGTTTCGTATGGTAAGTGTAGAGAACCGGGGACTTTTTTACTGGAAAAGAGGCATTCATCTTAGTGTACGGCTGACAACATATCTGCATTGTAATTCGCAAACGAAGATAGGTGTAGATGTCTATGGTCCACAGCAACCACTTACTATCAGGTGGACTGTGTGCTCATTTGTCACCATTATTCTATAAAAAAAAAATGGGAACACTCGATCCACCTAATGGTTATTTATTCTGTGCTAATGGCACGGCGATCAGTGATATCTATTCTCGATTAATCTATATATAAAATAAATAAAATTGAAGTAATGTCAAAATAAAGTTTTTTTATCAATTGCTATGAAAGTATACGATACTTATTACAAAAAAAAACAATTTTTAAAATTTTGTCCGTCTGTCTGTTTGTTCCGACTAATCTCAGAAATGGCTGGACCCATTTTGAAGGGACTTTCACTGGCAAATAGCTAATGTTATAAGGAGTAGCTTAGGCTACTTTTATTTTAGAAAAGAAATTAGGGACCCGCGCAAAAAAAAAAATTAAATGCCATAAGTTTCAATCGTAATAAACGCGGACGAAGTCGCCGAGAGCAGGTAGTTAAGAATAAAAATGCAGATACGCTCTCGCCATTATCGCCTCGTTTGGAATGCCTCGTTGCCAGTCAAAAGGCTCTCCAGTTCTCGTCACTTATTAAAAAAACACAACATTATGCTGCTATTACACGCTGGTATTCTGTGCGACCGTGGTCCTTCCCCGGCCAAGCCGAACCATTGTGTTTCTACCACGTTACAACTAGTATTTCCATCTAGTGGGTTCCATCCTATACCGATCTTACCAATAAACTTTTCTTCGACATTAGTTGTCAGTTCCCTGAGCTATATAGCCGACTCATGATCACCCTAGTTAGTAATCCATTTTAGACTATGACGATAATTCTGGTTCTACACCTAATAAGGAAACACTTCACAGCTCGCCACGGAGTACTTTTTGATACTTCCATAAGCGACTTCCAGTCTTCAACGTGCCTCATACGGCCAACAGTATAAAGCTACGATTCGATTCCATAATTCCTATAAATATACACTTTTTTCAAAACATTGTGGGAATAAAGAACGGAAAGACGCATCGTTAAGTCCTTGCTACATATATATTTATATATGGTTAAGTCATGAACCCTTTTCAGCCGAGCTGAATTCGTT